CTGCAAGGAGCCATCAGTGGCTGCCAGTCCCCTGGGACGATGGCTTCGGTCAGAGAGCTCTGGGTGGCCAAGCTGCGTGGCATGCCTCGCACTGCTGTGAGGTTGAGAAACTAGAAGTCTGGAACCTGTCCCTACCTTTGTGACTTTTCTGTATATGCAGAAATTATTCCATAATGAAAAGTTTATTTATTTTAAAAAAGTATTTATCTTGTGGGATAGAGTCCATGAATCAACATACAAAAAGACCTATAGTAAACGCTCAATAATTGCCACTGTATTTTTAATAACAGCAGTAATTGTCATCATTTTATCATCATCATTATTCAGAGTCACTCATTTGGTCCGGGCAGAGCAGAGGTGCCGCCTGTGGCCTGCTGGCACCCCCTAGACTCCCCCCCACCTCACTGCTGGGCTGCTTGGCAGGTGTGATGCCAGCCCAGGGCGGGATCCTGAACCTGAACAAGATGATCAAGCAAGTGACCGGCAAGATACCCCTCTTCTCCTACTGGCCCTACGGCTGTTACTGCGGACTTGGTGGCAGAGGCCAGCCCAAAGATGCCACGGACTGGTAACCCCCTCCCCAGGGCTGCGGGTGGCAATCTTATCCTGCCCCCCACCCCAGGACTCTCCTTTCCTCCCCACCCATTTATTGATTAGTGAATTCCTTCTGTTGAGCATCTACTATGAGCTAGGAACTCTGATGAGTCCTAGCCTTCCAGAAGTTTCCCCAGAGTCTCTGAAGGCCTGACTCCCCAGCCCTCCCATCCCCTAGTCTAGTTATAACACCCACATATCCCCCCACTGCCATCGCACGTTGTCTTTGAAAGCCCCTCTCTTTTGCTGTTATCTCGTTTGATCCTCACAACCACCCTGGGAATCGGCCAGAGGAGGGACGAGAGCTGGCCAGGCCTGGGTCACCTCCCCAGTCTACCATTTACAGGCTGCGTGACCTTGGACAAGTGGCTTGACCTCCCCGAGTCTCAGTTTCTCATCTGTGAAATGGGGAAAATACTAGTAGCTCCGTCACAGGGTGGTTTGAGGATTGAGAGAGAACGGGTAGATGAAGCAGGTGACTGGTGCACGGGAGGCGCTTAATAAGTGCTGGCTATCACCATCGTCAGGAAGACCGGAGCCCTGCAGGGTTTGACTCTTCCCAGGTGGGCGTGTGAGTTCTCCTCTGGGCCAGGGGCAGCCAGAGACCCCCAGTCAGCGGGGGCCTGTTCAGCGGTGCCTGCCCCAGCTCCGTCCTCTCCCTCCAGGTGCTGCAAGGTCCACGACTGCTGCTACGCCCACCTGAGGTTCCACAGATGCGCCCTCCACATGGACCACTACAGATACAACTTCTCCCACGGGGTCGTCCAGTGCTGTGAGTGCTGGGCCTTGGGTGGGAACTGGAGGTCCGTGAAGGGGGTTCCGTCCCTCCCCACCTGCGCAGCACAGCTGCTCGACCTCTCTGTTTTCACATGTGCCCAGTGGCCGCAGTTGGACTGTGGAGGAGGGGCAGGAATGGGCATAGGGGTATGGAGAGGGCCCATGCGAGGTTGACCCTCTCACACCTGGAAGCCAGGCCCACCGCGAACAAGTCCTGTGACCACAAACACGTTGCTTAACCTCTCTGAACCTCAGTATCCTCATCTATAATCTATGCCATAAAGTTACTGCAAGAACTAAGATGAGACAGACAGAATGGGCCTGGCAGGATGCCTGCCACAGAGCGCATGCTCAGTAAATTACACAGGCTACCGATCAGTAATGACTTTCATCATTATTGATCCTCACAACAGCCCGGCAAGGAGCCAGCAAAACCCTGTTCATCTCCATTGTACAGACCAGGAAACCGAAACTAGACTGGGAAGAGTTTGTGCGGGGGCTCACACAGCTGCAGAGGACAGAGCCTGGGCTGGAACCCAGGACACCCGGCCCCTGTCTCCATGCCAGCATCCCCAGCATAGAGGAAAAATGTTAACTGAGGGCTTAATAATAATAACAATCAGGTCCAACATTTACTGAGCACTTGCTATATGCTAAGTGCTGTCTTCTTACTTTAACTCTCATAGCAGCCCCTAAGGCAGCTCCTACCACTATCCCCACTTCACAGATAATCAAACTGAAGCCCATAATCAGGCTTGCCTGGAGTCTTCGCACCTACTGTTCCATCTGCCTGGAATCCTCTCCCTCCCCCACCCTGCTTTCTCTAGGAGCAGCAGACAAGATCCCAGCTCCGGTGGCTCCGTGACGCTGGTTTACAATCTCCTAGCCCCGCATGGTTCCTTTCCTTCCCTTGGCACAGTTTGTTCGTTCCTTCCTGTCTCACATGCGCCTTTTGTTCAGTCCTCTCCCCCCAGGACTAGCCACATGATCGGTGCTCGATAATTGTTCAGTGAATGGGTGAGATAAGCAAAGGCGCAATGGTACACGCGGAGGTCATGGTACACGCCCAAGGTCATGCAGCTAGAATCGAAGTCGCTGGGGCAGGGACCTCCACAGCTGAGCAGACCCTGCACTGCCTTCGGGGGCCCCGAGACCCACACCTGGCTCTGCCTCAGGAAGGGACAGACACTGAGCTCCCTCTCTCCTCCACCCACAGCCGACAAGGGGACCTGGTGTGAGCAGAAGCTGTGTGCCTGTGACAAGGAGGTGGCTTTCTGCCTGAAGCGCAACCTGGACACCTACAACAAGCACCTGCGTTTCTACTGGCGGCCCCACTGCAATGGCCCGACCCCGAATTGCTAGGAGAAGCCCACGCCCGCTACCCCGTCCCTCAGCACCCTGAGCTCTGGAAGTCCCGCAGGATCGCAGACATCCCTGTCCCACCATCTAACTTGAAACAGCCTGGCTTTTAAACCACTCCCGGGGGCAGGAGGTCCCAGCACCCCCCACAAGCCTCCTGACCTTCTGGGTCCTCCCAACCAAGGCGGCAGCCAAGTCCTCTGAGGGTGCATCCGGATCTCGGGAGAAGCCAAGGACGAGAGTCCCCAGGGATGGCGTTCGATCCAAAGCCGCAGGGGTGGAGGCAGGGGTCTGGGGCAGCTGTGGCAGGTTCTGTGGTATGGGCCTGGCTCCCTGCCACTGTCCCCCACCTGCTGGCCCCCCAGCCCCATCTCACCCACTCTAATACACCCTCCAACTGCAACCTGAGTGGCCTCTCTAAAGGACAACTTTTACCTTTCCGTCCACGTGACTCTCTCTCTTAAAACTCCAAGGCCTTCCCCTGCCCTAGGATAAAGCCTCTCTTAGGCGTTCGGACCCTACATAGTCTGGCGCTGTGTCCCTCTCCCCAACTAGGCTCTGAGGTCCCTGCAGGTGGAGCCCACAGCTGTCCTGGACGCAGAACCGACAAGGGGCTCCGGGCACTGGGGCCTGGAGTACTGTCTCCTGCCCCTGGGCATTTGCCCAGGAGGGGCCTCCTGCAGAACCACTCCTGCCACCCTTCCCAGCTCCTCAGGGTCAAAGGCTGCTTCCTAGGAGTGTCCCGAGGCTGACTCCTCTGCCCCTGCTGCCAGGGCTCACTCCCTCCCCTGGGCTCCCATAGCCCATCAGGGCTCTACTGTTTAGCTTTACCTTGAGTGGTACATGGGACTTCTCTGATGTCCCACAACTATCCTGGAGCTCCCGGAGGATGGAGACCACGTCTACCCCATCCTTGTGTCCTCTGCTGTCGCACACAGTAGGTGCTCAATTAATGCTTGTGGACCAAATATGCCCATAATGGATAGATAGAGGTTGTGGCAGATATTGTTGATGCCCCATCCAGATCCCCTCCAGGCCTGGGCGCCCTGCCCCCAGAGAAGCTGGGTGTTGGCTGCTAAGTGCCCCAATCTGCCTCCTTCTCCTAAGGGTCGCCCTGGTCTATTGGGAACTGCCTTGTCTCCACCCCACACCCCAACCCACCGGGGGGCCACCTGTAACCAATGACCAGGAGAGTAGACCACCATGGAGGGGACAACCGCCCTTCCCCCTTGCCTCCGTGCAGGACCTTCTGGGTGATGCAACACCCCAGACTTCCTCCTGGGATCAAGCTGGAGGCCAGACTTCTCCTGCAACCACGCTCCGCGTAGTCGCACCCCTAGCCTGTCCTGTTTTCCTGGTTCCCTCGCAGGTTTCTCGGGAGAGCACTCCCTCAACAAATCACTTGCATAAGAATCCTTGTCTCGGCCTCTGCTTCTAGGGAAAAGGATGACGATGGACAACTTTTTGGTATGAGGCTCCCCAATCTGCCATTCGTGTGGGATGGGCTGTGTGCCAGCAATGTGGCTGAGGCACCTGCAGCCACCCATGCTCTTGGCCAGTGACACACATCTGTGTCACAACTCACTGAGCAGTTCTCCTGAAACTCGGTGGCTCTCTCGAGGCAGTATAGTAGCAATGAACAACTATAGGCCCTGGGCTCCAATTCCAGCTCAATGCGCCACTCTGGTGGGGACATTGACATCAGGGGAGGCTGTGCATGGGTGGGGGCAGAGGGTGGAGAAATCTCTATACCCCCTACCCAGTTTCAGGCTGTGAACCTAAAACTACTATAAAAAAAATTAAGTCTATTTTTAAAAGTATTCGAGTTATCCCACTGATTAACCATGTTCTGCACGTGAGGAAACCTTGTTTCCTTGTGTGTAAAGTATAAATGAAAATAAGAAACAACAGAAAGGTTAGTATGTATATTAAATAGGATTAACGTAGACTAAGCTCCTACCACAGTGCCGAGCGCACGGTAAGGCCTCTTTAAATGTCAACCGTGTGATCACTGCTGGTGTTGGATCGTGACCACATCCGAGACAGTCGGGAGGGGAAAATGGTTCATCAATGTTCCCCTATTCCCACCTAGTTCTTCTCTCCGTTAGACTCAGACACACGATGTCCCTTTATTCCAGACACACCATCGGAAGCTGGTGACTCCTATTTGTCCATCGAATTTGTTCAAACAGGTCCCTGTGGCTTTGCAACATTTCTCTTAATATCAGTGTTGGCAGACTTGGGCATTATTATCCCCATTTTATTTATTTATTTATTTATTACTTTTTTTTTTTTTTTGAGACAGGGTCTTGCTCTGTCACCCAGGCTGGAGAGCAGTGGCATCATCATAGCTCACTGTAACCTCAAACTCCTGGGCTTGAGTGATCCTCCTGCCTCAGCCCCCCAAAGTGCTAGGATTGCAGGTGTGAGCCACCATGCCTGGCCCCCATTTTGTAATTGAGGAACCTGAGGCTCAGAGAGATGGCAGGCACCCCTGAGGTCCCATAACCGGCTAAAGGCAGGGCCATGATTCCACCTGACTCTTCTCGCTCTGCTCCCTGGCCACGTCCCGTTTGTACTGGTTGAGAAGCTTCCAGGTAAAAGCTGTGACTCAGTGGGCCTAGACAATGAGGGCATTCGCGATCTCACAGGTGATAAGTTCAGAGGGGAGGAAGCTCCACACTTGGCTCTTCGGCGGCTTGATGAGGTCACCAGGGCCTGTTTCTTTCCTGCTCCTGGCTGGGCGGCCCTCCCTGCACTGGCTGTGCCTTCTGGGTGGTTCCAAGCTGGCAGCCGCGGTTCCAGATCACAGGCCAGGACATGAGGGCATCTGGCAGAGGAGACGCTGTCTGCTCCCTGTGTCTCTTTTTAATAAGCCCCATCCCATTGCCCAGCAGACGTCCCCTTGGGACCCTGAAGCAGTGGTGGCCCAAGACAATGGGATCACCCTGGTCTGTTTAGATTCCTCAGGATTTACCTCCCCCTGAGAGGGAACAGGGTCAATGTCCCTGAGGGGTGTGCAGTTTCCAGGGTCGGTGTCGGGTGGGCAAGCCATGGGCTGGGGACTGCAGCTGGCTCCCAGGTGAGGCTGGGCTGGTCGGGAGCAGGGCTGTGCCCTGGGTGTACGTAGTAGGTGATCAGTAGGCATTTGTTGAGCGAATAAGTGAATGATGAATGAATGAATCTCAGAGACTTTGGATGGGGAGGCAGGATGGGCAGGTGGGGCCTCGGGCAGTCAGGAGTTGGGGAGCCAAGGTAAGCGGAGACCCTCCCTCCTTGTGAGTTCTTGTTCTGGACCAATTTCCAACAATTGAAATTGGACAAGAGGCACCAAGGCAGGAGGGATTCCCAGGGGAGCTGCTGTTCTCCACCCACTGCTCTCAAGCACCCCTGGGTGAAGGAGCCAGCCCCTATCCTTCCTGTTCCCACCGGGTCAGACTGCACAGGGGCACCCAGCAGGGAAGGTGGAGCAGACACTGAACACAGACGGTGCCCTCACCATCTCTTCTCACCTACCGCGGGACACCGGTCCTGTTACCCACATTTCACAGCTGCAGAAACTGAAACTCCGAGGATGAGTCACCTGCTGATAAGTGGCAGGGATGGGATTCGAACCCAGGTCTCTGGCTCCAGGGCTGTGTGCCGCCCTACCTCCCACACTCTTATCTCGGACAGTCCCTGACTCAGCCCTGGGTGCCCAAAGGGGGGCTAGCCACACCTGGGGACAGGAGGTGGGGGTGGGGTGTGGCAAAGGCGGGAAACCCACCCCTTGGCAGGTGTGATCTTCATGCCACCTGGGTCCAGGGTTCTTCCCCCAGGGGGCCCAGCCCAGGGGCAGAATGATGGACCTCAACTTCTCCAAGTGCCTTCCTGTTTTTCCAGCGGGGTCCTATTCCCAAGTACTAATGTCCCTGTCCCACATCCTCCACCTCGCTGTGATGTGTAGGTGGGGCTGGGTTCCCTGGGCAGCCTTACTGTCCCTTCCTCCACCCTCACTGTCCCCTTGATGGGTCCTGGGGGGCATCTGCACTTGAGGCTCCCTACTGAGGCCAGCCAAAGAGCCATCCTGACCCCAGGGCAGCTGGGACAACCTAGAGTCAGGCACTGGCACCTCTGTCTCTCCTGCTAGGTGACCAACCTGGTGTGCTCTCTCTCACATACAGTCCTCTATTTTATTATTATTATGATTTAAAGTAAAGAAGAGATTTGAAAACAGTTTGTAGAAGCTCAAAGCAGTCAGAAAAGGCAGGCTGCGGGGTTTCTCTCTGTTCCCTTTCAGCTTTTGGCTAAGCCTCTCCCGCCCCTGGGGCCTCTGCTGGGAGATGCTTCCCCGGCCCTCTCCAAGACGGGCCTCCTCCTTCCCGGGGGCCCAGCTGAAGCAGCGGCCCATCCACATCGCCTGCTAATGCCAAGGTTTGTTCATCTGTGCGGGCACAGCTCTCGGGGCTGCAAGACTGGGGACCACATTCTAGATCACCTCTGCCCCAAGCCCTGCCCACCTGTCAAGCCTGGGGGTGGAGAGAGGATTGTACTTCTCAGACCTCAGCTTGCCACAGGTCACCTTCCTGAGGTTCGGTTGAATATTTGCATTTTTTTTTTTTTTACTTAATCTAAGTAAATTTATTTAAGAAGGAAATTTATATCCTTCTGATATAGGAAAACCAGTATCACTTGTCATGAACAGAAGGTGATTATAGAAATAAGCTCAATTTCCCTTGGAGCAAGGGGCCCTACCCCTCCTCTTATCACCGAAGACAGGGATTGACGTCAAGAAGAATTTGCATAAACAGACCTTACTAAAAGAGCCCTTACCTTCCATTAGTTCCCCCATATATTTCCTAGTAATTTCCCCACTATTTAGTGCCCCTGGAGGCACAAACCCACTTTCCTTTGTTAAAAGGGTATATAAGCCCACGGGTCTAACCACATCTTTGAGTTTCACTTTTCTGTGAACTCCCATGCACACGCTCATAAATATTAATAAAAATTATGTGTCTTTTCTCCTGTTAATCTGTCTTTTGCTAGTTTAATTTGCAGACCCCCAGGAATATAACCTAAGAGGCTAGAGGAAACATTTTTTTCCCCCAACACAGGCTTGCAACTCCCCATCAACACTAAATCGACCAGAGTGAAAAAAGCTCTAAACATTCAAGTGCAGATGGCTTTATTATAGAATGGCTTTTTTTCCTTTGGCTAGATGCCTAGTAGTGGGATTGCTGGATCAAATGATATTTCTATTTTTAGCTCTTTGGGGTATCTCCAAATTACATTCCACAGGGGTTGTACTAATTTGCAGTCCCACCAGCAGTGTAAGAGTGTTCCAATCTCTCCACATCCATGCCAGCATTTGTTGTTTTGGGACTTTTTGATAAAGGCCATT